AAAAAACAAAATGTGAAGTGGCCAGGGTCAGAAAGTTTATAAACCAAGGATGGGATAAGTGCAAGACTTTTTGGTCATGATAATTTTCATAAAAAGTGTGGTGAATTGATGGAGAGATTATTCTGCAGTTATCCCGGATTGTGCATGAAGTGTGTAAAGTATCCTGTTTTGGATTTTCGTTCGGTAGGAGGGTAATCGATGGACTTCCGCAATGTAAAAAAATTTTGTTTCTCCCATAATCTTCAGTTGTAGCTTCAGGATCGTTACTCGTAAGGCAATCAAATATTTTAATAGAAGAAGTGAGAATGTATTAAGAAATTAATAAAACTTAAAATGTATTGCAAAATATAGTAAGAAATGTTTCGGTCAAGTTTGCGACCTGTAGGCCCGTATTTGCAGCACCCAAGCGTGAATATTTTTGTCTAAAGCCAGCTTGGAATTTTTAAAGAAAAAAATAACTTTCTCATAATCGATGTCGATTTTTCAGCAATGGCCGGGAATATCATACCAGCAATAGCAACAACGAATGCAACTGTGGCAGGATTATTGGTGGGTGAGGCGATTAAAGTTATTTTCGACGAACGGGACAAGTTACGAAATGTAAGTGTTTTCATTTTATTTTGGAGATATTTGGTATGATTTGTCTATGTAATAAGGAGGCATGGCGGTTTTGCTTATTTTTTCATTATTAACAACTTATTTCAGATTTTCATCAGACCAAAACCAAATCCACGAGGCCAAATTTTTGCGATCGAAATACCCAGCAAACCAAATCCAAATTGTTATGTTTGTTCGGAGAAAAGAGAAATTCGATTGAAAACGAACGTAAAACTCACTACCGTGCATTCGTTGGAAAATAAATTCCTGAAGGGAACGTTACATGTGATAGCACCGGATGTTATGATCGAAAGCAGTGGAAGTTTGATCATTTCAAGCGAGGAAGGTGAAACAGCAGGTCTCTTTTTTAGCCTTTGCTCACGAGTTTTTTTTTTTCTGTTTTCACAAATTTTTTCATTTGTATTAAAATAGTTCAATATGTAAAAATTACGTTCGACAGTCACGAACAATCTTGAAAGATTTTAATACAAGGAACAAATTGTTTTTTTTTTTT